TTTTTTTTTTTTTTTTTTGCTATTCCCTCCCCCAAAGATCTGTTCCCCGACCGCACCAACAAGAGGAAACGAAGCTCCTTGGGTGCTGCCCCACTACGGAAACGCCGACGGCACAACCGGCCGGAGCATCCCGCCCCCCCCAGTCCTCGGGCCCCAGGGAAGCAGCAGAAGGGTGACACGACACCGAGGGACACGCGGCACCGTAGCGGGGCCAGGAAGGGGGTGACTGGGGCCAGGAAGGAGGGGGTGACCGGCCGAAAAGCGCCCCGAGGAACCGAGGGCCGAGCCCGGGAGGGAGCTGCCAGGCCCAAGGGGCGAGGGAAGCTGCTGGCAAAGGGGAAGATGATTTTCCGGCGGCCTGGACGTGCCAAGAAGGGGAAGCGCTGAGGCACTGGCCACTTGTCACCAAAACTGAGGGGGAAGAGCAGATGGGGACCCCCCTGCACCCTGTTCCTGCTCCTGGGCAATACACTGCTTGGAACAACTGCCTGTGGCTATGCTGGGGGTGGAAAGGGGGGTGTCCCTGGGCCATAAGGGCATTCCTCCTGCCCACGGTGCCCATTTTTTGTGCCACCCAGACAGGGTCAGGCAGATCAGGCAGCTCCTTACCCTCCCAGGTCAGGACAGAAGGCAGCTGCCAGACTGCGTGCTGCCCAAAGAGGAAATGCTCCTGCAGCCCCCCAGACCCCCACCAGCCTCTTGCCCCCCACTATCCCCAGAATGGGGCAGGATGTCACCCTGAGGTGGCCCTGGGACCGCCACTGAGGACAGAGGGGAGAGCAGCGCAGACGGGGAGCACAGACCCTTGCCTGCACCCTAGGAACCAGGCAAGAGGGGGACAACGGCCAGGGGGACACATTCTATCCCCAACAGGGCCACAAAACCTCCTCGGTCCTAGCACAGGGCTCAGCACCCCTTACTCCTTCCCTGTGCAGCCGTTTGCCAGCAGCCACAGCTCTGCCTCTGCTGCCTGCACCCACCAAACCAGGGGGACCCCAGAATGGCCGCCCAGCTCACCTCGGTCTCTGCAATACCCTCCTCTCGGCACCCACTTTTTTTTTAATTTTTAAGAAGCGATGGGTGTGAGGGAGGGTTTGGGGAGCATGGCCCCACAGGCTTTATCCCTGCAGCGGGCTGCTCCTCCTGCTCACTGCCATTACCCTCCCCTCAGCTGCTCAGAAAAGCAGAAGGTGGGAATGTTGGTGGGGGTGGGAGCGGCTCTTTACACCTCTTCCTACCTCTCCCACCATGTTTTCCATAACCTCAACCCGTGGTGTCACCACCTGTGACCTACAGACAGCACACGGAGCTGCCACAGAGGAGCGGGCTGAGCCCGCGGAGCCGTGGATGGCAACCTAAGAGCCCTCCGGGTTGGCCCATGGTGGCTGGTGGAGCCAGTACAGGGCTCGTCATGGCCCTTGGGCACACGTTTCCCTCCCAGGAACGGTGGCAGCAATGTGGGAGAAGCAGGTTTAAAGCTGAAATTGTAAGCACAGCCTCGTGTCACACCTTTTTTTTTTTTTTAAGTTGAGATCCCCCTTTTCTAGCTGAAAAGCTGGGAATGAGCCTAAAAAAAATTAAGGAATGGCTGCACTGTGCCCTTGGCCATGTCACTGGCTTGGGTGCTGCCAGCTCCGCTGTGTGCTTGGGGCAGGAGCGAGGTGGGGACAGGGCTGCTCCCTCCCTGGTGAACCCCCCAACACCCCAAATCCACACCTTGGTGCATACCAGACCACGTGTCTTTATTTAGAAGCACCAACCGCTCTCACCGCGAGCCGGTGCGGCACTGGATTCAGTTGGTGGAGGGTCTGCGGAGGAGAGAGAGAACGTGGTAAGAAAGAGCATGGCCACAGGTGCACCCCCAACACCCCCCAATTCTCCGAGCCACCCCCCCAGCACTTACTTGGCCCATTCCACGTTGAGGATCAGGTGGTCGTAGCCAAATCCAGAGACCCCAGCAATTGCCCGGGCTGCGTCCTCTCGGCGGTGGAAGCTGATGAAGGCAAAACCCTGGGGTGGGAGGAAAGCAAGAGTGTGAGAGGAAGTGTGGAGGGCGTCTCCTTCTCAGCCCCCCTAAAGGAGAAAATCCCTCCGTGCCCACCTTGGACTGCCCAGTGGTCTTGTCCTTGGCTAAATAGATCCTGGAGATGGAGCCGAAGGGCCGGAACAGCTCCTGCAGATCAGTCTCACGCGTGTCCTCAGACAGGTTGGTGACACGGATGGTGGCATTGTCATCAGCTGAGGAGGATGAGGAAGGTCAAGCCTGCTAGTGGGACTGTGGCCAGAGCCAGCACGTGCTGTACGCAGCCCTGGGGACAGGCCTGGACTTACCCCTGCGGTTGGGCTGCATGGACTCCCCGCGGCGGCTGGCTCCATCTCGCAGGCTGGGGGGGACATACTTGCCCGTCTTGCTCTGCTGAGCCTGCACCGGCTCCGGCTCTGGGGGCAGGAAAGGCCACAGGGAGGAGGTGAGGCTGCCTGCAGGCATGGGTAGACAGCCACCCCCCTCTTGCCCCCCCAGTTAAAGAGAGGCCGTACCTCCAGGCAGCTTCTCCTTCTCGCCTGTGGACAGCCCCAACTGCTCAGCCAACTCCTTCTGCATCGGCCCCAGGGTGTCCTTGTAGGGACAGCGGGTCGTCCAGTGGTCGCCCTTGCAGATACGGCATGAGACAATCTTCTGCCCCTTCAGCTTGTTCATGGGATCCTCCTCCTCCTGGCAGTTCAGGTCCTGGGGGACAGGGAGACTCCTGAGTCCTGTGGGACCCGTCACACACCCGGGTACGGCCTCACCAGGGGCTCCCCACCAGCCCGGTGACTCCCCCCCTGTGCCTGACCCACCTCCTTGCTGGTGATGAAGGTCATGAAAACATCGTCGCTCACAGTGGTGGTGGCCACATTCGGTCCAGGAGCATCAAACTCCGAGTTGCCAAATTTCTTCCAGTTCTGGGGAGAAAAATGGGGAGGGGAAATAGGGGGTCCCACTCAGCACTTTCCTGGGAAATCACTAAACACAGAGCAGGAAGGGAAACGCTCCCCACCAAGGGGTAGTTGGGAGATTGAGAAGGGCTGGACAGAAGCCGAGGGCTCTGGGAGGGGAGAAGAGGAGCTCAGCAGCAGGGAGAAGCCAGAATGGCAGCTCAGGATGTGCTGCTCACCTTCACCTTGCGCCCATCCTCCTCCTCGCGATACTCCGTGATGGTTTTGATGTTCCCATTGATGAGCTCTTTCGGGGAGGGGAGTGGGCCTGCGGGGAGGGGGGACAGTGGGACAGTGTGCAATGGGGGGGAGGTGACAGGAAAACAGCCCCTCGGCCTCTCGTCTGGCTCTCACCTCCTTTCAGCAGCTCGGCCTCAGCGCTGAGGCTGCTCCCCAGCACCCCGGGCAGGGGGATGTCCTTCAGCAGCTCACTGGTGATGCATTTGTCTGTGGGGAGAGAATGGGGAAAGTCACCCCCTCACTCGGGGTGAGCCTGGCAGAGGGGGTAGGAGCCCCACACCTGGCACAGCCTCTCCCCACAGGGAGGAGCTGCCCTGCTCTCTCCCCCGAGCACAGAAAAAAGCCAAAGGGCCAAGAAATTTCAGCTGCTCCAAGCCCCTGGGCTTCCTCAGCTGCAGAAATGGGTGAGGCAAGGATGGAGAGAGGGGTCCTGCTCCTCGCCCCTGGTCAGGCACACTCTGCTCACAAGGATCGGCCTCAGAGAGGAGCCTGAGAGCCTGTTTTGAGCCATGGACAAGGAGTGGGTGTGTCTCTGGGCTGTTTTAGGACCCGCAGCTGGTCTTTCTCACCAGAAAAAATCCCCAGTTACCAGCAGGAGGAGCAGCAGAGAGAA